TGTTAGTGTTGGGAAGAGTTTAATTAGATCATTAGAGAAGGGTGATTGGACAAAACAGCAGAAGCTTAATGCAGTGAAAAGTGACGGATGAAGCTCCAAGAATTAAGGCCAAACACAGGCTGATATATTAATGAAGAATAATCTACCAGAGTGCTAATATAAAGTCAGTGGCAGGTTTCTCAAACTGTGGGGCAGGCCCCTCTAACAGGACTTTAAATCATTGCAAATTGGGTTTGGCTGACCAGGAACAGAGTGAAACTCAGTTGAATAGATGAATTTGTGGGGGTAAAATTTCAAAAGATTACAAATAGATTGTTAATGCTTTGGTGATCTTTATTTTACTAAAATTGAATATTTTTATTTTTGATTGGCAAAAATTTTAGCTATTGGGTATGCTGGTTGGGTATCCCAGAAAAATGTTATCTGTAAAATCAGCACATTTACGTCAAAAATATTTGAAACGCTTATGTTTTTAGCATTAAATTAAAAAATATAAAATTGTAATCCTAAAAAATGGTAAGACAAAATAACACATCTTGGATTATTTTGGGGTTAAGCTAAATGAAGCCACCAAAAAAGGAGGAGCTGGGGTGGAGGTGGGTTGGTTAAGGCTAAATTTTGTATTTTAAGTAGGCTATATTGGATATGTCAACAATTATCAGATGAGCCATCAGTTGACCTGGACTGCCATTTGATCAACATTAACATCAAATATAATATATAAAAATACATAAATAAAAATCAAATCAAGTGGGAGTTAGGGTTTGCCATATATACTTGTACATATGATAAACACGATGATTAAAAATGAAATATTGCTATCATATTTATATTTTTCCTTTGGGATGCATGTCGGTGTAAAACAGACATAACAGGTGCTAAAAAAATTCACTACTTGATTAGCCTGTAACACCCAACCCATCAAAAAATAGCCTGAAAATTCTTATTTTTTGGAACTGAGATGTTTATTAACCCTTATAACAAAATTCACAAAAGCTTTATTGCTATATCATGTTGTTAATGATATATTTATTATATATTTTTTGTATCACATTTGATACATTGGGCGTCTTTGGCAAGTTTTTGTTAACAACAATGTTAATTTTAGACAAAAAAAGAGTTTTGTACATAACATTTTGGAATTATGACAAGCATCAATCATGTGATGAGCTAGAGGTCTCAGAAACTCATGTATCAAATATGATGCAAAAGCATCATAGGGTTAATAATCAAGTGGAGAATATATAATATCATGATGTCCCTCCCCAGTGGTATTATAATCAAGGAAAAAAATATTTAACACGATTAATGTCTAGGAAAACTTCTCGCTCTATCAGTTATCTCGGTTCAGGGTTTTTCGGCTTTTCCACTGAGAAACATTAAACCTTAGAACATTTAAATGCCTCAATGCTCTCATTATTGTAGCGCTTACGTGAGTAATGGAGAATTTTAAATGTTTAACTGGGCTGCTGGAAAGCCGGAGAAATCAGGCCAAACCACCAACAAGGGATTGTTAGATGCCAGAAACAAATGACAGAAATTAAAATTTAATTCCTCCATAAAGTCGGGCTCTGTGATGATACACTTTCAATCGGCTGTAAACCTTCTGTCCTCCGATATACAAGCGTGATTGTGTCCATATACAAATACAGGCCTTACTCATAAACAACATCAGCCACCAGAATGAGACCTGAATTGTGAACTGTGGAGATCAAAGTGCTTAGCAAAAATATCCAACTTTCCCTAAAAGCACTAATGACTCCTTTAAACACCAGTGCGGTAAACACATCAATCATAAAAGGAGTGGTTATTAATTTAGTCCATTGCTGTGGTTTACACTGCACTGCTTTTGTAATATGTCAAGGCTATAAGTGGAAACGCAGGCCATTTATGATCTGATTTTTTTCCTGATTCATCACTCATTGCCATCACAAAACTTAAACAGTATCCTGTATCTCGACACCAGTTTAAAGCTGAATCGAAAGCACTTCCAAGGCCTCGCTGACATAAACAAACTGCTCCTCTGATGATGGATTCTGTTGAAATGACACACAGAGGGGAAAAAAAATGACAGAGAAGAAGAAAAAGTTCAGAAAAAGAAACAGTCAGCAGAAAAAAAACAAACCGGAAAGAGATGGAGCTCAGAGGAGGTGTGCAGTGTTTTTTCTTTCCCTTTTTTTAGGCTGATATAAAGAGCCATCAGTCTTCAGCTCCAAATGTTCCCATCAAGTAAACATCAATAAATATGTATGAAGGGGGAGAGGAGGCCAGGAGAAAGTGAGGGAAGCTGTTAGAAATCAAAGTGAGAGATGAGCTTTTATTACTAGTGAAACCATACTGGAAGAAGAAACTAAACCTTACAATACTGGTAGTAGAATCTAAAGACTCAAATCTGCAGAGGAAAAACAGAAATCTGTAACTTACCCATCAAATATGCATCTGTCATTGGTGGCTTTGTCAACATCAAAGTCAACTCTGTTGTCATTACATCAATACTGATAATTTGCTTTTTTTTTGAGGCAACGAGTTTCCATAATTTTTAAAAGTTAAAACCAACTATCAAATTTAACAGTGTTTGAATGTTGTTAGGGCAGTACAGCTGTTGCACCAGATGGTGGATTTAAAACAGGGACCTGCTTGCTGTGAGGTGCAATGATCAGCACTGTGTTGTCTCCCAACAAGAAGGTCCCGGGTTAAATTCCAACATCTGGCCAGAGGTGTTCTGTGTGTTTAGGTTGTTTCCAGGTACTTCGGCTCCTCTCCGTAGACCAAAGATATGCAGTTAGTGGAGTTAAACTATGATTCTAAATTGGCTGTAGGTGTGAATGTCAGTATGAATGGCTGTCTGTTTCTCTGTGTTGGCCCTGTAGGTTGTACCCCAACTCATGGTCTATGATAGCTGGGATAGGCTCCAGTCCCCCTGCAACCCTGAATTGAATAAGTGGACAAAAATGGATGGATGCTGTTAAACTTCATTTCAGAAGCTAACATTTTAATCAAATCGATATTTAATTGAACATTTTATTCTTCCCTACAACTTACCTTAACCCTACAACACTAACATGAGTTTTGTAACACTATCACTTTCAGCCGTTAGTGTTCTACGTTTAATCTTGGATATTTGATGTCAATGAAAAATTTCACACATGGGGTATATTGAGTGCTTGTTTACACTTTAAAGACCTTTACAGGATGTAAGAAACTAATACCAGTTTTGCATTATCAGCATGTCATGACTTGTAGGGATAGTGGTAGTTCATAGAGCGCATTTTTGTGAAACACCTGGCCAAACAGAGCCCACAGTGATACACTATGATGACTTATGAGTTGGTGTCCAACAGAAGCTTTTCTGATTTGCTTTACTTTCTATTATCACAACTTCATTCATATTATGAACTTAAATATAAAAGATAAGAGATGAGATAAGATAAGCTTCATTGTACTCATAAGCACAAACATGCACGGAACTGGAAGCACTGCTGAAATCATTCTACTTGAATGAAAGAGTAATAAAATATAAAAATAAAGTAATAAATACATAGCTAATAATCCTAATGACAGCAGCTTTGACAATGGCACAGGTAGAAAGCAGAATAGATGATATCTAGAGGTATTTTAGCTATTGCACTTGTTCAGTGAATGCTTAGAGTTTAATTTGGGTGTTGAATAGCCTGATGGCCCAAGAAGCTATTCTTTAGTCTTCTGGTACTGCTTTTAGAAGGTGGCAAACTAAAGAGTTGATGGCCAGGGTGAGAGTGAACCTCTTAACATACAGATTGACAACTCTTGTCCTTGTACAATGAAGAATGGTGGAGCAGAAAAACATAAATTTCATCATTTGATGCATATAATAGTCTGGTTAGGTGCAACTTTAAGAAAAAGATTAGTGCTTATGTTGGGGCATGACTTTGCCTCATGGGCATACTGGTATAATTCCAGTTCACCTGAACGGTACAGTATGGCCTTGGAGGTCCAGGACTGTTTCTGTTTGGCTTGTTCAGCTGAATTTTATCTGCTCCTCTGTCCCATAAAACCTTCCTATGACAGGCAGCTCCCCATCGACTCTCCTCCCTCCTCCATATCCAGCCCACATTTTCTTCCTATGAGTATTAGTTTATTGAATAAGTGGCATCTGTTTTCCTGGCCCCGTCACCGTAAGGCGAGGTATTTCTCAGTGACGCACAGCGCTGATTTATACGCCGCTCTGACTCTCCCCACAAAATAAAGCTAAGCAAAAAATTTCCAATACATCCTGTGTCCCCTTTTGCACACACATACACACACTCCACGCATGCTGTATATAATTAACTTGGCAGATGTTATACACACTCAACACTTTTACACACTCTTCACTCTCATCCCCAAACTCCCACTTTCTGTCACACACAAATAGTGCCATGATGGAACAATGAGAGTCATAAATCACAGCAAACGCATCAGATTTACTGGCTTCCTCTGGGAAAACAGCAACAACTATCTGACACTTTGTCACTTTGAGGGTCATATTTTTTTCTTTTTACACAAAGTATTGTACACTATAATACAAAAGACATTGATGTGGTGAAGTGTCATCTTTGTGCCAAAAAGTATTTCTTTTCAAGCTGCCAGTAGGTACAGACCAAAATCTCGAAGCCAAATTCTTGACTGAAAATGGCGTTTCTGGACATATGAGCACTTGGCACTTGCTACCTATGTTGATTATACACGTTATCTCTAGATCGTGCTTTGTTTACAGTTAAAATCATCGCCTTTATTCATTTAAAACTCATTTTAAATTATGCCGAAGTCCTTCTACCTTCTTTAAGGGCTTTGGTACAACACAGTTGCTTACAATGTTGATTGTAAGCTATCAAAGATTTTGATCCCCTGAGGTTTCAGACATAAAGAAAAGTTTTTGGAGTCATTCTCAAACCAACACTGTGTCCCTTTAGTGTCAGTTTATCCTGCATTACAACAGCCTTGAGACAAACTGTCAAGTACCTAAAACCACTGTGTCTTACCGGTCAGGATTTTGCGGACACACATGCATCTGGAGCAGGATCCTCTGGGTGAAGGTCTTGAAGCACTGGCCACATTTCCACAGGTGCCAGTCGCTGAACTCACTGCTAAGCTGGCTGGTGGATGTGGGACTTGCCAGGACTCTCTGGTTCTTTGACCCCAACTGGCCAAAACTGGAGTCCGACTGAACCCCAACCTTATCCAACAGGGAGAAACTCCGAGGGCAGGGGAGTGGGGAAGACCATGGAGCGCATGAGGGTGGAGGACGGAGTGGAGGACGATGAAGAGGATGAGGAAGAGGGTTTGCCGTTTTTGCTGAAGGACTGGAGGGATTCCTGCCTCGTCATGGCCTCCACCACTGTGGCTGGGACATTTACTGGACACAAGAAAACAGAAATGATTTGGTTTTAAGTAGAAAAAAAGAGAGTCCAACAACTGCCAACACTGAGGAAAATGATGTAAGTTAATGTTGATGAAGATGTTCTTTAAAATTTTGACTTGGAGGAATAGCTGGAAGGCACTCAGAAGACTAGCAATGCTAACATGGACTGTTAAGTTTTCAAAACTGCAGCACAGGATCAAACAAGAGTGCAAGACTGGAAAAATATTCTTGGCCTGAACACAAACAAATGGATGAAACCATTTATTCTTTCAGGTGGCCCTTAATGATATCTGTCCCTATAGGTTGGATTGTTGTCAGTGGGCTGGGCTTGATAGATAAAAGTGTCATGGTCCCTGTGCCTCCCCGGCCAGCCCAGTGTGGCCACAAGTGTTTGTTGTTTTTCTCTCACTCTGTCTCTCCTACCTGTCTGCCTGGGCGGAGCTCTGATTGGGCTCCTGCCCTTGGCCCACGCACCTGCAGCTGATCTCGAGCGGATTGCAGTTCTCTGGCTCTTAAGGCTGGGGCTCTGAGCTATTCATCGCTGGAATATTGAGTAACTCTCGTTAGTATTGCCTGCTTCCTTGCGATTCTACTGTTCCCGTTTTGCCTTCGACTTACCCTCGTCTGTGTAAACAGGTTTACCTGGATCAGCCCTTTTGTGACCCCTGGACCCCGTGAGTAGGAGAGTGAGCTGAGCTGCTTGTGTGGAGACTGTTTGGACGAGGAGCAGAGCGAGTGCGAAGAAGTGTGTCTCCCCAGCCAAGTGATCCCCGGACCCTGGTGTTTCCCCCCCCTTCACGTGTATATAGTGCACCAGTGTGATTAATAAAGTGTCGTTGAACTGTGCTACCTCAGTCTGCGCCTGAGTCCGTTCCACTCCCGTGACATAAAAGTATGGTTTAGCTGTTTTGATGGGAGGAAAGGAAAGGAAAGCCAGAACTTTATGTCCTAACTGAGACCAGAGCTGGCTGACCAGCCCGGGGCAAACTGCAGCTCCTGGTATCAATGAATGGAATTATGGGAATTATGTTAGTACAGCGACTCACTGTTTTCCTCTCAGGGAAGACAGAAAGCTGCAAAAGCTATGTTTCAGGGTCAAAATGGACCTCCAGCATGATGCTACTACAGATGAGTTTTAATTTACAGAACTACTAACATTTCTACTTTAAACTTTGCTTTCATTCCAGAAACTCAAACATTCTAAAATGTTCCCTTCACTAGTTCACTGTTAAATCCAGAATTAAATTTACCAGTCCTTTTCATATAAAAAGTTAGCCCCCATCATATCTGAAAGATCTCATAGTCTTATACTGTCCCAATAAAGCATTTTGTTCTTAGACTGCAGCCTTACTTTTGGTACCTAGAGTTTGTAATAGAAGAATGGGACAACAAGCTTTTAGCTATCTTGAAGTTCTCCCACAGAACCATCTCCAAGTTTAAATTTAGGAGACAGACACCTTCTTTACTTTAGAGATTATATTCAAAACTTTCCTTTTTAAGAAGGCTTACTATTAGTGCTGGTTGAGTTGATATTGAAGCATCCTTTAGTTGTGCTCCTATAGACTCAAACTGCTGTGGACTTCCCATAATACACACCCTTCCTTTTTCACTGCGCCTACAGAGCAGAGGTGAGCACTTATTTATTGTTTTATAGAATTCAATTCAATTCAATTCAATTTTATTTATATAGCGCCAAATCACAACAAAGTCGCCTCAAGGTGTAGAAACCCACACAGATTTAGATAAAATAAGCAAAGGGCCCTAGAGTGATATTGCTAGCACTAGCATGCTAATAATTGCAACCATGGTTGCAGGTTACGATGAAAATAATACATTCTATGCAAATGTTGCCATTTTTTTGGTTACACTACATAAGTGTGTCACTTGAATTGAGATTCCTTACTATAACAAGGCCTCTTCTTGATTTTGTGGGGTTTGATGGTTTTACCTTTACCTTATGCTGGTCAGATTGACCAGACTCGTGGGCCAGTTCTGGTCATTGGAGCTTTTTTTTCTGATGTGGTTGGGCCCTTATGTTACAGTACAAATGACTGCTTGACATGACTGCTATATGGTGCTATATAAATAACACTGAATTGAATTGAATATAGTAAGTGCTTCAGAGAAAAAAATGAACACAGGAGCTGGCATAATAAATCCATTAGACCGATAGAAAACAGATTCTGGATAAAGTGTTGCTGGTGATACAACAGTCAACTACAATGAGATTAACAGGAAAAAACACATTATATAAAGTGTGTAAATTAGATTTTGGTTGATGCCAGCTGTCCTCACTTGACCCAGAAGTCAGCTTTGTTCTGTTTTGTGGTCAGACCAACTGACAGACCTGGAGTCCATAACCCTTCATCATGTTTGAAATTGCATTAAGAGGGTTGATTTACTTTAACTCACTGTGGAGGGTTTTGCTTTTCATTCTGTAAAACTGGTTTGCTTGGGAAAACTTGGCATGCAGACTGGGAGGAAGGAAACTATTGGACAAGTTGTTTTACATCCTAAACTTAACCAGACAAACCAGTAGATGCTCATAACGTGTTATTTAAGAAGACAATAGCTTATTTTGTGACTTCTTTAGTTAGACTCATTTGGGTAATTTGTGAGTCCATTTTGTTATTATTATTCTTGGGTACATTTTTCCTTCTCTACCCACGCACTAATGCATAAACAACACTTCTGGCTTTCTTAGTTTTTCTGAATTTCTTCACATCATTTCGATTGCATCATTTTACATGAGTAAACACCCCTCTCTCTGAGATCTGCTGCTTCAGTCGTCATAACCATTTTCCATCCCTCATCAGCTCACCTCTGCCATCAGGCCACCAGGCTCGATTGATCCTCTAATAACCTGATGAGGAGATAATTACACCATTTGTAAGTTGCCCGACGGTGTTATTGACGCCCGCGTTATACGCCGCTCGCCCACACTTAATTCATTTTGCAACCAACATTGCATATACAAAATGCAGGTCAATACGGTTTGGATTGCGTATGAAATGCATCATCAAAATGAGAGAATTATGCAGATGCAGCTGGCAACATTGCAGAGTTTGTATTTTCTTTCTTTATGAGGGGTGTGTTCTCTCCTACATGCCCCTCATAAAGATACAAATGGAGGAGATGCTGGTCTTCATCGCACAGAACAGAGTTTTAAAAGCAACTTCTGACACCTAAACTTGGAGTTTCATCTTCCTCTGTATTGTCTGCCTATCCATCAGTTCTGTGTATTCATTCAAACATTTTTCCATGTCATCTTCATTACGAGAATCATCTGAGGCCCTCTCCTCATCCTGTCCTCTTTTCCCTTTTTGTATCTCTCTCTTTGTCATTCAGTTTTACAATATATATGTTACAGCCATCAAAATGTATTATATCTAGAAGTTCCCCAAAAATAAAAAATAAAAATAAAAATCATGAGACTCATCTGTCAAAGGAGTTGGTGTTATCTGTTTGTAAATGTAAATGCAATCTATTTGTGGAACTATGGTGCTTAACAGTGATATAGTTGCTCTATTAAAGGATGAACTGATGTGTTCATATTCTTAGATAACAAATTAGACCACCTTATTTTGCAAACCTTCACCAGTCTATTTGAGATGGATTCCAGTCACTCCAAGTAAGCCCAATTGTTTGGAGACAATATCCCTCCACCAAGGGCCTATCCAATTACCATACGTTACGGTTGTTCCACGATCAACCTTCGGGTCACCAGAACTACTTGCTCTTGGTAATTGGCAACAACAACAGCAAAAAAAGTAAGAACACTGAGCAACCATTGTTGATTGTGATCAAACTATGAAAGGACTCTTTATTTTGATGACAAGAGTTTCACTTCCTGCACACCAATTAGATTGTCCAAGTTGTCCAGCGCCTCCAGGACAGCATAATTAGAGCCAACATCATATGTGCCATTGTAAGTAGGTATGCTGTGTCTCTCAGCATAGTGTCAAGACTTAGGAGGATTGACAACAAATTGCAGTCAATCTGTCTGTATTAATCAGTGGAAGGACAATTATTTATTTATTATTTATTAAACTTTCACCAATGTATTTGAGTGTAAATACAGTCAAGTCTGAGTCCGACTGTGATTGTTTGGGGACAGGCTGCCTGCTATCGGCGAGGCATCTGAGAAGGATTGCACTCCACAGACCATTGCCCTCTCCTTATCCGTCTCAACTGACTTTTCTCTGTTTTGTTTTTTAATCAGTGTCCTTCTCATGACTAGTAACATGAGACAGTGACTGGAGGCCATTCAGGTCCTCCAATAGTTAAGCTCCTCCAGGGTAACCACACGTGCTGCCACAAGAACATATGTTATGTCTCCCAGCATAGTCTACAGAATGAGGAGATACCAGGAGATGGACTGTCAACATGTGGATAGTTGGACATGGTCATAGAATTGAATATTCTCAGCAGAAGGACAGTTATCTGTTCCTTTGTGGAAGGAGGAACAGGCGGAGCACTGCTACAGCCCTACAAAATGACCTCTGGGGGCTACTTGACTTCATTAGGGTGTCATGAGAGACCAACATCCACGGATTTACATGAAATAAGTTAAAAATAATAAGAATATGCGTCAGTCTTGTACATTTATATCATACTGAATTAGCAGGAAGTTTGACTCTTGAGAGGCCACCGTTCGTCTCAGAGTGTCTTCCTCTCTTTACAGGAATGAAGTACAGTTCTGATTATGTTGCCAAATCTTTGCTGGGTAATCAATAACCATAACGTTACAGCGATTATAAAGTTCATAAAATCAATGGAGGCAATTATAAGACTGGTAATAATAATACGTCACATAAAGAAGAGAAGTACGGAGGAGTTTACTGCAGAGGTGGACAAAATCAAAATCATTCTTCCCTCTCCTTTCTTTTCTTCAATCTTTTGCCTCTTTGACTCCTCCACTTTCCCTCTCATTTCATCCATTTTCCTGTTTTTTCCCATCATTTCTCACAGTTCTAGAGGATAAAGGGAAGTTGAAAAAACTAAATAAAGAGCAGGAGCAAAAGAAAAGAAGATAAAGCAGAGTCTTTCTGAGATGTTTCCTCGTCTGCTGGTGCATATGTTGCTGTGGAGCGTCAAGCCGACAGGCTGTGATTGGATGGAACATGTATGAGTAAACAACCATGGGGTGTGTGTGTTTTCTTTGTTGTGTGGTTTGGATCTTGATTCATCTTTAATGTGTCTGTGATGCTTGAGCTCTGCACATAAGCAAGAGTAAGAGAAATGTGGTTTAATGTTATGTGCGTGTTTCCTGTTGTTTGTCGTTTGCCTTTGTGTATATGACTTTACTTTAAGGGGTCCTATGATGTTTTTATTTATTTTCTGTACTACTGTTACATACTGTAATGCTCATATTTAACATGGCCAGAGTTCCAAATAGTGATCAGTAGCAGGTGTAACGCATTGCAAAGTAACACGTTACTGTAATCATACTACATTTTACAAAATTCAGTTAACATACTAAATTCAGAAATCACAATACAGTTAAAATTATGTTATTACTTGATTTACAAAGGGTCTTCAGTTATCTGCACTGCAGCTGGAAATAATGAAAGAAAAAACATCACATGCATTTTCCTTCCTGCACACTTCACCTACAAACAGCTGATTTCAGTTTGTGTGCAGGGGGAGGGAAAACAGTGGATCAGTGTGCCGCTTTTTGAGGAGAGGGGATATGGACATCCTTTTTATTTTTTACTACATGAAAGAATAAGTGCGTAATAGTAAAATTAGGACAGAAATAACTACATTATACTGCTAACACAACACTGCCTCTCTGCAAGAATATGCACAGATAGTATGCTAGCACAGAGCTAGCCAAGAACCCAGAGTGATGTTATAGCTGAGTGTATGTCGACCCGTCCAGAGCACCAGTCCAGAGCCTGATCTTCAGCAGGTAAATAAGGCAGTGATGAGCAGCCAGGCTTGCAGCGTGTAGCCTCAATTCTGCCTGTGCATGCTTTGAAAGTAGAGTCACTGTGGAAGATCGGTTTGAAGTCTCTTCGGATTGTTGTCAGCTTTGCATTTTTGTTGGTTTTATGTTCATACGGAAACAGCAACAGAACGACTGTATGTTTGTCCTACTGTAGCCTCAGGTTTATATAACGACCTGATAATTGTGCGGCAGTGCATTTCAGGTCATGTTATGGAATAGCACGAAAGTAACATAATGCGTTCTTTTCTCTAACATATAATTAAGTAATATGCTGCACTGGTTTCAGGAAAAGTAACCAGTAGTGTCTAATCCAAGACTTGTTTTTGTAGCAATAAGCCCAACACTGATAACGAGGACAGAGAATGTGTGAGTCAGTCAACTCAGATTGCTCTAAACAGTTTTAGACAGTTTTTTTCCTGCTCTTTGATATGTATTACATCAATAAGAGGGATGTCCTTATATGGTCACCACTTTAAGAGTTTGAACACTATTGTACCCAAACACAGCAGATAGAGCTACAGGACATGTGACTGCACTGGACATTTCCAGTCTTATTGTGTTCAGGCAGCCTTTGGAGCACTAATAAAGGTCAAAACTTTAATGTCTGTTCACTGAGGACAGCCTACTGTCTCCAGTGCAGTGTTTTGACGTCACAGTCATCCCTTTGTGGGTACAATTACAGATAACAATGCCACAGAAACTAACTGCTCCAATGCAGTTAGAAGCAAATGTCTTTAATTTGGAGCAGAACTGCTGCTTT